CCCCCACCACCACCCCCACCGCCACCCCCACCCCCTCCACTGCCTCCACCGCCGCCTCCACCGCCCCCGCTAGCTCCTCCAGTGCCCCTGCCCCCCTTGCCCTTGCCAGGGCGGCGTCTCCCGCTAGGGGTAGACGCCGCACCGACCGACTCAAGCCCAACAAGGTCGGCCGCAGCAGCAGAGGCAACAGAGGGCAAAAGGGGGGAGGGGGAACACCCCTCAAAGATGGGGGTGCGAGGGTCACCACGAGAGGCTCCTACAGCTACTATGCTCTTCTCTGCTGCTAGGAGGGACTTCTCGAGGAGGTCAACGGTGAGAGTGGTGGGGCAAACTGAGAGGAAGTGGTCCCTGACTACGCGAAGGGAGTCAGGGAGCCGGATGACTATGTAGTAGAGGGTGATGTACATGGGGGGGGGGTTCTTGGCGCAGAACTCAGCAGGAAGCGCAGCGCGGTAGCGAGTGTCACTAGTGCGGAGGTGCGTAATGAGGTCAGCGACTGTGGGAAAGGCAGCAAGGTCAGGGAAGAGGTACGGTAGCATGAGGCGGCTCAGTGCAGCAGTGGCAGGGGAGGAGTAGCGCGCAACTACAGCGTCGTACAAGGTCTGAGCACTCTTGTACTGGCTAAAGTGCGCACGCTCAGAGGTAGGCAGGTGGCGACGCACAGCAAGACGTGCAGCAGCATCGCGCGTGGCCCACTGTGAGCGAACAGTGGCGTCAGCATCAGCAGCGGGGGCAGGAGAGGCACCAGAAGTGAGGTCAAAGAGGGAGAGGCCGTCTGCTCTGTCGCACTGTAAGAAAAGCTGCAGGTCATCTATCCAAACGACAAAGTCAATGGCCCGACCCTCAGCGTCAAAAGCGAGGACACTAGGGGTAGCCATGACAGCAGTAGACTAGCAGCGCAAACAGTAGGGTGAGGGCAGTGCTGTGAAAGAGGCGCTGCTCTTACCGGACAGGGCGGCTCGGGTGGTTCGGCTGCAGGGCGGCTCGGCGGCTCGGCTGCTGGGCGGCTCGGCGGCTCGGCTGCTGGGCGGCTCGGCGGCTCGGCTGCTGGGCGGCTCGGCGGCTCGGCTTCTGGGCGGCTCGGCTGCTGGGCGGCTCGGCGGCTGGGCGGCTCGGCTGCTGGGCGGCTCGGCTGCTGGGCGGCTCGGCGGGGCCGCTGAGAGGGCGGCGTCCGGGGCCGCTGGGAGGAGGCGGCGGGGCCGCTGAGAGGAGGCGGCGGGGCCGCAAAGGTAGGCGGCGGGGCCGCAGGTAGGTGGCGGGGCCGCTAGTAGGTGGCGGGGCCGCAGGCAGGTGGCGGGGCCGCTGGTAGGTGGCGGGGCCGCAGGTAGGTGGCGGGGCCGCAGGTAGGTGGCGGGGCCGCAAAGGTAGGTGGCGGGGCCACTGGTAGGTGGCGGGGCCGCAGGTAGGTGGCGGGGCCGCAAGTAGGTGGCGGGGCCGCAGGTAGGTGGCGGGGCCGCTGGTAGGTGGCGGGGCCGCAGGTAGGCGGCGGGGCCGCAAAGGTAGGTGGCGGGGCCGCACAGGTAGGTGGCGGGGCCGCGGAGGGCGGCGACGAGCCGTAGGGGGGGCCGTGAGGGGCCGCGGGAGGGGCCGTAAGGGGCGTAAGGGGCCGCGCGAGGGGCCGTAAGGGACGGCGCGAGGGGCCGTAAGGGGCAGCACGAGGGGCCGTAAGGGCGGCGCGAAGGGCCGTAGGGGTGGCGCGACGAGCCGTGAGAGGGCCGCTAAGGGCGACGCGACGGGGCCGTGAGGGGCCTAGCGAGGGCGCGACGGTAGGGAGAGCACACAGGGCGCGTTCCGGGCAGGAAAAAAAAAAACTTTCGTGGTGGTGGGCCCTAGGAATCGTTCCCACTAGGGAACCTGCTCGATACCATGAGAAGAAACGAGGAATGGGAATGACTAAGGGAAAGTTTGGTACAAATACAAACCCTAGAAAACTGTACCCCATATGTGCTACCCCACTATAGCCTACAGTAGCTCTGTCATATAAATCTGACACAGTTATAACAGCAGCGTTAGTGAATGAGTTTCAGACACGAAAGGCACATTTCATCCGCGCTGTGAATTGCGGACAGACAACAACTTGTTGTGACAGCTCCAATGAGGCAATCAATTTTACTCACACAGACTAAGCGCGTGCATTGTGAAAGAAATAGATTGTGAAGTGATCGATTGATTGCGAGTTGCGACACAATGATACGGTACATCTCAATCCGCCCCTCACTCAAGTCCGTCTCTTGCCCCCCTCAGTCCACCCCTCACCACTGTTAGTCTGTCCCCCCACCCCCACCAGGTCGCCATTACTCCTGTCTTCCCATCCTAATCCGCCCAAGCCTCCACTGCTTAGCCTACTCCCACAATCTGCCACTCACTCCCCTTTTCCTTCCACATTCCCCTTTCTTCCCTTTCTACTCCTCCACCTGCCCCAAGCAGCCAGAGCATCAACAGGATTCATCATACCGGTAGCAAGGAGTGCTGCAAGTGTGACACGACTCCCCATAGTGGACAAGCATCACCTTTCCAAACTTTAAAATCTGGCACCGTCACTGAGAATCCCTAGAATGCCAGTACATGCAATTAGGTAGGGAGGCAGAGGATCTATAAGTTCGCGCCAACTCTCTTGTTAGGAAAGACGAAACGCTCGTTGGACAATTTTAGGTTCGATCTTAATTGCTGTACAGCGATGGAGAGCTAAGAGTTTGTAAAGCAGTCCTCGTGTAGCAAGGTTAATCTATATCAGCGTGATAATTATCTTCGTCAATAGGGTTCAGACATAGTACAAAATGGAGACAGGTGCATTCGTTCTCATGGAAGACGAGATTGCGGTAGTGATGCTAACCTCCCAAATACCGTATTCTCCCGGATATAGGACCCTCCCGAAAAAAAGACCCCCGGGACTTTTGAACGGTACTGGGACTCTTAATATGTAGCATATGTGAGAGGACCCCCCTTAAGCCTATAATCAGTATAAGACCCCCCCCCTTCCCCTAGGGGAGGGGATTCTGTTAAAGAAACCATTGCCCAACAGTTTAGAATTAATACTGCACTTGGATCCACACTTGAATTAACAGTTTAGAGTTGTGAGGGATCCGTTCCGCACCACGTCCAGAGCCTGTCCCTCGCTCTGTCGCTAAAGGAACAGACGAGATGCAAAGGGGGGGGGGGGGGGGGGGGGGTTCTGGATGTGGGCACCTGAGGGAACCGCACACTCAAGATGCTGTGCGGTTCGCCTCGAATGGTGTGATTTCCGCCGTCGTGCCTAGTTGGACGACGCGTGTCACACGCGATATGAGGTTCGGAGTGCTGTAAGCAGTGGATTTGGACGTGCAAAATAAAAGTCCCCCCACCCCCCCAAAAAACGAATGGTACACCCTAAATCGCATACCTGTACTTGATTAATAAGTGTACCCGGGTCTTATACAACTCGTTCCGATTAAATGTTCACCCTAACCAATTTGCCTCTATTTTAGGAAAGTCCCCCGGGTCTTATATCTGGGAGAATACGGTATGACATATTGATGCTTCGGTGAACGAGGAACATACGGAACATAATTCAGCAAGGCCAAACACAAAAGGTGTTTTCTATTAGTCTACACAATGAAATATGCAGGATGGTATTTTCCCAATACTAGTACATGAGACACTTATTCCTACCTTTTTACTGTATTACAATAGCTGTACTTTTGATGTTACTATCTCTACCGCCGTCTGCGGCAGCCAATAGGCATTCTCGTGACGGGATAGAGGTCTAGGAAAAATTGGTTGAATCTCAATCGACGGTGGTAGATTGATTCTGGGCTCTTGGTCGTCCATCTGTTGGGCTTCCAACGCGTCACAATGTTTTTTTTTTCAGATCGGGCAGCTCTCAAAGTGCATTATTACAGTTGAATTATCACCGAAATTCCATAATTCACATTCTTCGGCTCGGGAGCAGGGATCCTAACGGATCCGAGTTGTGATGAGGTTCACCCTGCGACTGCAGTGTGCCAGGCACGGCGTAGTCTGAAATGACGCGGTGGTGAGCCTACGGGCAACACATTCGTCTTTCTGGCTGTACCCAGCCAGTTTGGGTCGTTTCTCCTGGTGGGAGCTCGAAAGTCCCATTTTGCAAGGGCGCTTCTTTCAAGTTTGCAAACTCCTTACCATCAAGTTAACAAAAACTGACCCGCGTGCCCTGCAATTTGGGAATTGGGTTTTAAACAATAGCCATCCAAAAATTCGAAAAGGAAGTATAGTTGAGCTGGGGGGAGGATCCTTAGGACCTGAACTGGAGGCACAAGCCCTCGGGTTTCTAGGCCAATTCCCTCTGAAGTGTGCTCGCTCATTCGTTTCAGATGTGGCACGAGACTTTTAGAGTGATTGTTTCAGCAATTCAGTAACTCGCAGAAAGCTTATGCGTTGTTTTTGTAAGAGGCGTAAAGTTTTCAACAGGGTACTTTCAAGCCACGTAAGGAAATGCAAGGCGGTACATTCGGGGAATGCTGTATTTGCAGAGTAGAAAAAACTGACTCTTAAAAGCAGGCCAAACAGGGTAGAACGCCCTGCTATCTTGAGCCCTGCCAAGCAGCTCTTCCCAGAGTCGTTTTTCAACGAATACTCTCGCGCATTGCACGGCGGTAGGCCGCGATTGATACCACCTCGGACTCCCGTCTATAAATCCCGCCACTAAACACGCTCTAACCATCAGCCTCAAATCCTATTATGTTCTAACGCTCAGTTCCCAAAACTCTCCAGCTACTCAGTCACGATACGTCATGGCTCGCTCCATTCTCTCCGTCGGCCTCGCGCTCTTCCTCGCTGCGACCCTCACACTCTCTTTCGCCCAAGGTACGGCCCGTATGTTACCATCGCGAGACCTAAGCCGAGGCCCTGCCTTTGAATCCCTGGCACAGCGCGTATGTCTGGTTTTTACTCTCTCCGCAATTTCGCCTCCGCTCAATTTTGCCACTCCCATCTTTGGTTGACACTGTCTCGACATATTGTCTCCCCTTAACTGCCCCTACCAGCAAGGAAAGTGGTGCCCAACCAGCCATGGATCAACCCCAATCCGTCAGGGTTTGCAGCAGACGGTAAGATGACACTCATTCAATCCACTAGGAGTGGGAACCTTCCAACCGTAGAATGACGTTCTCGCTGACACTCTGTGTATCCGGCAACCCAGAGAGAGTTTTCTCCCTTGAAGCTTTTACAATTGAGAGGGGCAGCTTCATGCTTCTGCAAAAGTGAGACTCTGCCTGCCGCCTTGCTGAACCGAGTCGCAATTCATGCTCCTCAAATTCCCTGTCCGTCCTGCTGCCTATCTTCCCCGTGTCTGATATCACCTTCATCGACTCCAGGCACCCCATGCAATGACATCTACATGCGCGGCGTAAGCTACTGCCCCACACGCTGGCCTGGAAATTCGCGGGCAATCGCCTTGTGCAGTCAGAGCCTTGATGTACAGCGCGGGCATTGTGGGCTCGGACCATTGGTGAGTCACATACACTTTCTTAGTTTGACTCAAAAAGCACTCAGAGCCTTGATACACAACGCGGGCAGGGTGGGCTCGGCCCATTGGTACGTCGCAGGCATGGCGGACGGGCTGTCATGTGAATCCCATCTCTTGCTTTGCTCTGTCGCTCTCACATGCACTATCAGCCCAGTGTCTCTCTGTCACTATCATACAGAGCGTGCGCACTGTGGGCTCGGGGTCACAGGCATGGTGGACGGGCTGTCGCGTGCACTGCCACTCTTGCTTCGTTCTGCCACTCTCACATGATACCATGCGATCTGCTTTCTCACTCTCACACGGAGGGTCGTCGCATGCCAGATGTCCACTCCAGTGCAGGGTAGACCACCTCACCGTGTGTGCATGTTCTGTGGGATTTCCCGTGCGCCCTTCCCTTGCCCCTCTCGAAATCCTAATGTTCAGGTGCGCAACCCCTCGGACGACCCAAGTGTGGATCGAATTGGCGGCCCTCTTAACCCGAATGTCCCTGGTGTCTTCCGGTGACTTCCTGGTGTCTTCTGGTGTCATCAGTGATGATTCTTAGGTTTCTTGCTAGTGTTTTCTTGTGGGTGCTTGTGTCGTATTGTGTTTAGCCCATGTGGTGGGTGGGTGCTTAGGAGAGGGAACACCTCAATATTCTGTACTTGAATGTGAATCTGTCTTTACTGTGGTTATATGTGTATCTGATATTCATGCCTTTCGGTCTGAGATGGCCTGTATTCAAGCTTTCACTTGAAAACACAATGCGGAGCTGGGGGCCAGCCCACCTGCCACCTCCATTCCTACAGCCACCTCCATTCCTACAGCCACCTCCATTCCCACAGCCACCTCCGTTCCCACAGCCACGCCAAAGTGGTTTCACCGCCCCAGGGGGCCAGCCCCACCCCACTCTCTCGGCGTCTCAACGAGCGCTCTGCTCCCACCGTTAGTTGCAGCGCGGCTGCATCGCCTCGTGCACACAGGGCGGGATGGAGGTGTGGGAATGAAGGCACAAGACAACTGATGTCGGTGTGTGCAGCTTACCAACCGTGGGCCTGTCCGCACTCAGTGACATCCTGCCGCTATTTTAACACATTCTTAGGGTGCATTCTTGTGGAGACGCGTCACATTTTTTTGCTTCACAAACGCCTGAAACCGAGTCGCAGTGAAGACGTGTGATGGCTGCTGTGATGCCGCAGCCTGCCGTGCCCTTCGCAGTGCCTGCCGCCCCTGAGGCACCCAGGCCGCGCCAGGAAATAGAGGCGGGATGAGGGGAGTGTGGGGAGAAAGGGGAGTGTGGGGGGAGATGGGAGTGTGGGGGAGAGATGGGATTGTGTGAGAAAATGAGTGGCAGGATTGAGGTGAAGAGAGAAAGGGAAGAAAGGGAGTGAAGGGGTTGAACTTGGATCTAAGAGAAGAGGCCGCACCCGCTGAGTCTAGGCATAAGGATACGGTATGCCAGGGTCTAGGCTTGGATGGGACTGAGACTCGCAGCCAAGGCGGGAGTGGGTTGGTGAGGCTGTGTAAGTGTTTTTGGAGTCCCTTTCTGTGGGTGTATGTGATGTTGGGATGGGTGGGTGAAGTTGAAATTAGGATGATGTGGATGTTCTCTTTGGGAACCATTACCGGTAATAACGATATTTTCCAGACAGCTGCAAATTCTTTGGTTGGCAGCTAGCCAGTGAGGGCTCCATCAAGGTCATCAGTAACAGTCAACGTTACTACAGGTGGAAAAGAAATCCAACTCTGCAGCATGCAAGTGGAAAAATGTCCTGGAGTACTGGCCTCAAGACCTTGCTGGAACACCAGCCTTGAAGCGGGGAGTGGTTGCAGCGATGCAGTGTCGATAAGTATACAGAAGGATGACAAGATGGTATGTAGCATGAACGGGGTTGCATAGCCCTGTGTTCACTGTCAGTAGGTCAGTAAAACAGAGAAGGTTTGAAGACTGCAGCTGGGATCAAGGCTGGTAAAGGCTGCAGCTGGCAGTGCAGCAGGCCGTTGAGAGGGGAGCGGCAGAGAGGGCAGCTGTTATTCTGCTGACAGTGCTGCGCCATGCAGTCACCACAAAACTGGAAGTGCACTGAAGAGGTACGGGATTGGCAGGAAAGGGGCATTGCGCCAGGGGGGGTTAAAGCCCGTAGCTAAAATAGTGACCCCTCCCTTCTAGTTGGGTCCACTTGAAGACAAGTTTTTTTGGAACGTTTTGAGAAGTTGAAATGCTATATGTTTTGTTTTTTTCACCCCCAGTCGAGTCTCGATGTGAACGGGGAACAGTTGGAACTTTTCTACAATTCTGATTGGCGGTGACTTTCACTCACTTGCCTGTGCGAATTTGGCGCAAGTTTGCAATGCTCTGTATTCAGAACAAGGGGTCGTCAAACTTCACATCAAGCAACAACACTGGCAAAATCCAGCGCACACACATATGCACGAGATGACAGTGGAACACCATAAAGGTTGTCCGACGAGCTAGCTGTCAGAATCTCAGTCACTAGACCATTGGGATAAAAGGGCTTGTTAAGTAGCGGGTCAGTGCGCCCATAACCCCCCAGGACAACGAGCCTGTAACCCTTCCCTAGGATCAATCGGGGATCACCAGTGGACCTCTGACACCCCCCCCCGCACTGGGATGCCCGAAGATCACACACTGGGATTCGAACCCGAGACCTTCAATCTAATACCATGTCAGAATCCCAGTCACTAGACCATTGGGATAAAAGGGCTTGTTAAGTAGCGGGTCAGTGTGCCCATAACCCCCCAGGACAACGAGCCTGTAACCCTTCCCTAGGATCAATCGGGGATCACCAGTGGATCTCTGACACTAGCAGAGATGCGAGAAAAGTGTTTCCTTAGACTTGTAGTCGAGGCGAAAGAATAGGGAGTTGAGAAAAAAATAACGAACGGAAAAAAGAAATGATGGACAAGGCGAGGAGGAACGACGAGATGGGAGGGGAGAGAGACGGAACGACAAGACGGGAAGGGGAGAGGGGCGGAACGACGGAATGGGAGGGGAGAGAGACGGAACGATGGGATGGGAATGGGAGAGAGGCGGAACGGCGGGATGGGAGGGGAGTGAGGTGGAACGACGGGATGGGAAGGGGAGAGGGGCGGAACGACGGGATGGGAAGGGGAGAGAGGAGGAACGACGGGATGGGAGGGGAGAGAGATAGAACGACGGGATGGGAGGGGAGAGAGATAGAATGACGGGATGGGAGGGGAGAGACGGAACGACAGGATGGGAAGGGGAGACAAACACTAGTGATAGGGGGCACAGCACGAGGGCGATGCAAGGCGACAATAAGGGACGGGAGGAAAGAGTACGAGGGCGAGGAGACGGGACGAGAATTTGCGAGCGCGAATGGTACGGGAGACGAGGAACGTGAGCGCGATGGCGAGGGGAGGGAGGAACGTGAGCGCGGTGGCGAGGGGAGGGAGGAACGTGAGCGCGATGGCGATGGGAGGGGAGAAGGCGAGAGCGACGGGAAGGGATGGGAGAATGCGAGAGCGACGGGAAGGGATGGGAGAGAGCGAGATCGACGGGAAGGTATGGGAGAGAGCGAGAGCGACGGGAAGGGATGGGAGAGAGCGATAGCGATGGGAAGGGATGGGAGAGAGCGAGATCGACGGGAAGGGATGGGAGAGAGCGAGATCGACGGGAAGGGATGGGAGAGAGCGAGAGCGACGGGAAGGGATGGGAGGGAGCGAGAGCAATGGGAAGGGATGGGAGGGCTATTCGAGGCGAGCGTGAAGGCGACGAGGTGGATGATGGCAGGGGCGAGAGGAAGAGCGACGGGAGGGCGACTTGGCGAGAACGCCACGGCAACGAGGTGGGCCATGGGAAAAGAGAGAGGAAGAACGGCGGGAGGGCTAAACTAAACGAGTGGAACGGAAATGGTGTTGGAAGGGCGGTGCGATAGGTTGCGCGAAGCCTTGCGATGCGAGTAATACGACACTTCGTCGTCGACATCCTCGTATGGGAGAGAGATAATGCTGCAAGAGAAAGGCGACATGGGCTGACGGCGACTAGGAGGTTGACGATTGCGCTACTAGTAGGCAAATAACACTGCGCTACTAGGCTACGTATTACTAAATCACGCACTCGTGCTAAGTCGATAATAAACGCGGTCGTCGATAATTTCGTGCCTGAGACACAAGCACCTATGCTTTCCGCTATACTATGCGTGGCAAAAAACTAGTGAGTAAGGGAGTAGAAATCAGGCAGGTATGAACCCAGGACCAGCTTGATATTGAAGTTGGGCCTTGCGATGGAACCCATCGCTAGGGCGATGGAACCCATCGCCAGGGCGATGGAAACCAACGGGGAACGGTCGTGCAAGTGCAGGTCGCAGAAATGCGAGCGAGAAAATCCATTCTGGTGGGAGCCACAACATCCCATTTTGGCGAGAGCCAATCACATGAGCTCAATCTGCCCGCACGATTTGTTTCACACAATGTTTTGTCAGACTTGCTTCACTTAAAAAAAAAAAATCAGTCGCAACACCTCTTTCAAGATGGGACGGGGGTCACTATTTTGCCTGCTGGCCTTAAAGTGTCAAAATGTTATATAGCTTACTTTGTGTAAGCTATAGTGGGGTAGCCCATAAGGGGTACAACCCAATTAGGGTTAGTACTTGTACCCAAATCTTTGCTAGTTCATTCATTTCTCGTTCATCATTCTGACATGGTATCAAAGCAGGTCCTCCGCTAGGACCGTTCTCCTTGGGCCCACCACAGCGCTACCCCGCTAGCCGCCCACTGCAGCCCTCGAGCTGCCCCTACTACCTGTCGCGACCCTTAGGCCCCTAGGCCCGTCGCCCTCGGCCCCGTCGCCCCGCGCCCCCCCCTTCGTTCCTGGCCCCGCGGTCCGTCGCCCCTTAGCCACTCGGCGCTCTGATCCCTTGGATCCGCGCTGTCCGTCTCCAGCTCCACGAGCGCTTCTGCCAGGACCTTCCTGTCCTGCGTCTGCACTCTGACAGAGGTGGTGAGTTCTCCTCCGACCTCTTGCGGGACTTTTGTCGTGGGGAGGGCATCACCCAGTCGTTCACGCTTCCGGCCTCTCCACAGAAAAATGGGATTGCTGAGCGCCGCATTGGATTAGTCATGGAGGTCGCTCGTACCTCCATGATCCATGCGGCTGCTCCCCATTTTCTGTGGCCGTTTGCGGTCCGGTACGCTGCGCATCAGCTCAACCTCTGGCCCCGTGTCTCCTTTCCGGAGACCTCGCCCACAATGCGTTGGACGGGGGAGGTTGGCAATGCGTCAGTGTTCCGGGTCTAGGGTTCTCGTGCCTTTGTTCGCGATACGTCTGCGGACAAGCTCTCCGCCCGTGCTATCCCCTGCGTCTTCCTTGGCTTTGTCCCTAACGCGCCTGGCTGGCAGTTTTACCACCCCACCTCGCGCCGTGTCTTCCCTTCTCAGGACGTCACGTTTGACGAGTCGGTTCCCTTTTACCGTCTCTTCCCCTACCGCTCTGCCCCTCCCCCGCCCCCGCCGCTCTTCCTTGCTCCCGGTCCCCCTCCGGTAGACCCCCTCCCGCCCCAGGGTCCTGCTCTCTCAGGTGTGTCTCAGGTAGACCCTCTCCCTGGTCCTGCGCCTGTTGAGGTAGCTGTCGGCTCAGGTGCTGCTCGAGGTGCTGCGTCTGGGGGTGCGGAGCCGGGGGGTGCGGAGTCTGAGGTGTCAGAATATTATGTTTCTCTAGTCTGCAGTGGGGTACTTTGTAGTGAGTACAACCCTGTTAGGGTTTGCTATATGTATCCCAATGTTTGCTAGTGAACTCATCCTCACTCATTCTTTCGTCAATTATCTCACATGGTATAGAGCTAGTTTTTCCTATGGGCCCACCACTAAAACGATTTTTTTTTTTACCTGCCTGACGCGCGCGTCGCGCCTGCCCTTCGCGGCCCCCTTCGCGACCCGTAGCGCCCCCCCCCCCTCACGGCCCGTAGAGGCCCCTTTGCGCCTGTAGTGGCCCCTTCGTGGCCCGTAGCGGCCCCCCTTGCGGCCCGTCTCGGCCCCTTTGCGGCCCGTCGCGGCCCCTTCTAGGCCCGTCGCGGCCCCTCCTAGGCCCGTCGCGGCCCCCTCTAGGCCCGTCTCGGCCCCTTCTAGGCCCCTCGCGGCCCCTTCTAGGCCCGTCGCGGCCCCTTCTAGGCCTGTCGCGGCCCCTTCTAGGCCCGTCGCGGCCCCTTCTAGGCCCGTCTCGGCCCCTTCTAGGCCCGTCTCGGCCCCTTCTAGGCCCGTCGCGGCCCCTTCTAGGCCCGTCGCGGCCCCTTCTAGGCCCGTCGCGGCCCCTTCTAGGCCCGTCGCGGCCCCTTCTAGGCCCGTCGCGGCCCCTTCTAGGCCCGTCGCGGCCCCTTACGCGGCCCCGTCGCGGCCCCTTCTAGGCCCGTCGCGGCCCCTTACGCGGCCCCGTCGCAGCCCCTTACGCGGCCCCTTCCGCGGCCCCGTCGCGGCCCCTTACGCGCCCCCCCCCCCTTCCGCGGCCCCGTCGCGGCCCCTTACACGGCCCCGTAGCGGCTCCGACCCTGTCCTGCCCCTGTCCCGGCCCTATCGCGGCCCTGCCCCTGCCATGCCCCGACCCTGCCCAGGCCCCGCCCTCCTCATGCCTGTCGTGGCGCACCGGGGGCCCGTGCACCGCCCCCCCCCCCCTTTTCCCGTCGCCTTACGTGGCGACCCGGGGGGGGGGGGGGGGGCGCGCGTGCCCCCCCCCCCCCCGCTCGCCACACAAGGCGACGGGAGGGGCGACCTGGGGGGGCGCGCGTCGCCCCTCCTTCCGCCTGTTCTGGCGCCCTGGGAGGCCGCGCGTCGGCCCCCCGTACTCCTCCCCCCCCCCCTCCCCCCCTCAGGTCGCCTCAACAGGCGACGGGAGGGGCGACCTGGGGGGGGGCGCGCGTCGGAGCAGCCGCCCCTGGTGCAGCCGCCCCTGGAGCAGCCGCCCCTGGACCCAGAGCAGCCGCCCCTGGCCCCTGGAGCAGCCGCCCCTGGCCCCTGGAGAAGCCGCCCCTGGCCCCTGGAGCAGCCGCCCCTGGTGCAGCCGCCCCTGGACCTCAGCAGCCGCCCCTGGCCCCTGGAGCAGCCGCCGCCTCCCTGTGCTGCCCGTTGCTGCTCTCTACCCCCCCCCTTCTTCGTCTCCCTGCTGCGCGTGCAGCCGTGGAACGGAGGGTATGGGGGTGGCGGGTATGGGGGTGATGGGTGGTATGTTTCCCTTCCCCTCCTCCTCCTTTGTCTCCCACTGCTGCAGCTGCCGCTGAGGGGGGTGGATGTGTGGGAGCCAAAGGCGTGGTGCTAGGGGGTGAAGTGTGAGTGAACCTAGGGGTGCAGCAGGGGGTGTGTGAATGGGGGGTGCGGCAGTAGAGGGAGGTTGGGTGGAGGTAGCCGTCGTGTTGCTAGCAGTGCCAGTAGTCCGGAGGTGCGCTTCCGGTAGCCCAGTGATGCCGCTGCGCCAGTCGCCCGTGGGTCCGTTGCTCCTGCCGCTCGTCTTAGCCGCGGAGCCAGTTACTCCTGTAGTCCGGAGGTGCGCCTCCGGTAGCCACAGTGCGCGCCGCTCCTGTTGCCCGTGTGTCTGCAGCTTCCGCCGTTGCCTCCTCTCTCCTCTCCTATTAGTCCAGCCTCCTCCTCCTCACTTGCCCTCTGTGATAGCCTCTAGCTTTACTTATTTACTGTGAACTATAAACTGTTGCTTCTTGTACTTGTGCTCAGAATGTGTGGTGACATTGTGATCCACCCTGAGCTTGCTTTGCTTTGCTTGTTGTGCTGATCATACCCCACTTTGACTATGGGGGTGTGTCAGAATATTATGTTTCTCTAGTCTGCAGTGGGGTACTTTGTAGTGAGTACAACCCTGTTAGGGTTTGCTATATGTATCCCAATGTTTGCTAGTGAACTCATCCTCACTCATTCTTTCGTCAATTATCTCACATGAGGGTGCTGGGTCTGGGGGTGCTGAGCCTGGGGGTGAGGCGCCTGGGGGTGCTGAGTCTGGGGGTACTGAGCCTCAGGGTGCTGCTTCGTCTGGAGGTCCTGCTGGTGCTTCGCCGAGACTGTCTCCGCAGCAGCTGCGTGAGTGGTGTCAAACATATGTGTGTGTACATTTCTCTAGGCTGTAGTGGGTTTAGCCTTAGGGGGTACACAATTTCTCTCGACATTCTACTTGTACCGTTCCTTCCTTCCTAGTCAACCATTCTCGTCACTGATTCTAACATGGTATTAGAGTAGGTTACTATTGGGCCCACCACCTGCTACTTCGTTCCTAGCCCCGCGCCCCGCCCGTACCGCGCCCGCGATAGGCCCGTACCTAGCCTGCGCCCGGCCCAGTCTCCTGCCCGCGCCTGGCCCGTACCTAGCCCGCGATAGGCCCATACCTAGCCTGCACTCGGCCCTTTCTCACGCCCGTGCCCGGCCCGTACCTAGCACGCGATCACCCCGTCGACACCTGGGCCCGGCCCCGTACCTAGCCCGCGCCCCGTCGACGCCCGCGACCGGCCCGTACCTAGCCCGCGACCCGGCCCCGTACCTAGCTCGCGATCGCCCCATCGACACCCGCGCTCGGCCCCGTACCTAGCCCACGCCCCGTCGACGCCCACGACCAGCCCATACCTAGCCCGCGACCCGGCCCCTTACCTAGCCCGCGCCCTGTCGACACCCGTGCCCGGCCCCGTACCTAGCCAGCACCCCGTCGACACCCGCGCCCGGCCCCGTACCTAGCCCGCGCTAGGCCCCGTTCCTAGCCCAGCGCCCGGCCCCGTACCTAGCTCCGCGCCCGGCCCCTTCCCTAGCCCGCGCCCGTCGACGCCCGCGCCCGGCCTAGTCCCTCGCTCAGCGCCCGGCCCCGTACCTAGCCTCGGCCCGTCAACACCCACGCCCGGCCCCTTGTTTGGCCCCTCGGCCCCGTGTGTTTGGCCCCTCGGCCCCCTAGGCCCCTCGGCCCAAATTCAGGCCCAGCGCCCGTCCCAGTACCTGACCAGCGCCTGGCCCCGCTCCTAGCCCTGCGCCCGGCCCCTTGTTTGGCCCCTCG